ACAGAGAAAGGATGCTTCCAGTTGGCGGAAGGATATTTGATCCTTGGCGGCCGTCCAGGCCCCCCTAGGGTTACCTCCCAAAACCTTTTGAGCCCCTAGACAGCAAAGGGGACCCTTTATCTGCCAAACCCCCCCCCCCCCCACCCCCGCTGATTTTGCAACTTTCTTCTCAGGCATTATATCTTGGGTCGCATGTTTCCCCACCCCCCGTCCCCAGTTACTTTCCTGACGGCACGTAGGAGACCAAAGGTGAGCCGGAACCGAAAACCACTCATTGCCAGTTGTTAATCAGAAACCAGTGGTAGCCACTCATTACTATGAAACACTACAAAACTATACCATATTATCCTGTTATCCATAAACTGAAAAAGACAGTATCGCTGACCAAGAGTCGTTGGGCGGGGGGCGGGAGTCGCACAATAAAGTTTTGTACGGAGATACTCCGCCTCGATTTTTTATCACACTTAAAGGCGTTTTGGTTTATACTCGTCTGTGTGACTTTACCTCCTTTTCTTTCGATATTAACCTCTTCAATGTTTGAACGTATCAGACCTGTCTTCGATCAAGAGTCTTTCTACGTATCCTTTAAAAACCTACATGGCGTATTTCCTAATCGTTTTCCGTGCTCAGTTCAACTTGTGACATCAAACTTATATCCTTTTACGTAACTCCATTCTGGAAAAGGTATCCCTTTTTGATCTGTCGGATCACCCCTTACTTTAAAGTCATACATTGTAGGACTACAGAAGAAAAGAACTTACAACCTTTTTCAAATTCAAAAAAAGACATCTTTATAACCAATCTTATACCACAGTTTTGTAGATGGGTTTGATATATTCGATGTTAGCACACTGAAGCATATATACTGAAGCATATATGCCTCTGATAATAGACAAGGGTAACTGGCAACTTATAATAGCCATAGGGCTAGAAATTGGTAGGTTTATAATTCAAGCAAAATGCACACACACGTACAAACAGTAAAGATAGAGTAAATAACCAAATGGTCGATCATAGATTGTAATAAACTCATCTAACCCTTTGCAGCTAGTCATTCGAGTGGCAGAAACCCAACCCACCATACTGGAGAGCATAGGGTGAAGACAAACAAAGGAAATTACCATTCAATTGATGTCAGCCGTTTATTTTTCTTGTCCCAGTACATCCAGTGCGTTCCCTCTCCAGTATGGTGGTTTTACGCCACGTGAATGACCAGCTGCAAAGGGCCTATTAACTTGCAACTGAGGAATTTATTTCGTGCGAAGAGTTGAGTTGAGTTTGTTCACTCTTCTTTACCATGAGTGGTCGCCTCTGCCATCCTTGATTTGATAGCAGAGGAAGATTGGCAAGAGTAGCGAATGTAATCAACTGGTGCGGTAAAACTCAAGCGATTTCCAGTGCTCAGAAAACGCTAGCTTGGAGGAAGACTAGTCCAAGTTTAACTGTACAAAAGTTATGACAACACTCTGAGTAATAAGATCTACAAATACAAGTTTCAACTATTCCCTGAATTGCGCAGTAGACAGCGGTCCTTCTCAAGCCGATTCTTCCATTTTGATCAACTTATTCACGCCGTCAATCACAAATTGCACCAGCTGTACCTCTGAGTAACCAAGCCGGTATTTGTTAGAGATGTCATAGATGGCGCCAGAAGAGTCTGAATGCTCTCCATACAGACCACGGACTTGCAAGTGGTTTTCTTTAGCCCATTCTTTTAGACCATCCTCTCCCATCTTGGCCACAAGTTTCTGCAGCTGGATCAGCACTCCTCCCCGCAAACCTGTTCCGAGGTTAGTGGGACAGCAGGTGATCATGCCAAGATGGTCGGTCTTCTGAAAAGTACGGCCATCTAACTCTTGAAGGAGCTTCTCGATTGTGTTCACCGCTTTCACCAGCGTTGCAAACACCGACCTGGCATCGCCACCTTGCTGAATTGAAATCACACGGATGTGGTCACCTTCGTTGAGCCACACGGCGAAGGTTTTGCTATCGTTAAGGTAGATCCCTCGTCCATGTGGCCACCAACGATGATACCCACTGTCAGCTTGCATCTTGTCGTTGCCCTTAAATAACAAATGCTCTCTCACCAGCTGCTGACGTTCATCTTCAGTGATCTTCACCAATGAATAGTAGTGACCTGCCAAATCTCCCTCCAATTTGTCAAAAACTTTCAGCATTAAGGCTTCTATCGCCAGCTTTTCATCTTTGGTATTCTGCCCGGGAGCAAGGTTGAAGCCAGAAATGTTCCTGGCTACCCTGATTCGTGTAGAGATGATCTTGGTTGGGTCGCTGATGTTGCCTTTGAGATTTTCTACATTCATATCAGTGATATGCTTATCTCCCGGCTTGAAACCACGGTGATACTCTTCAATGACAGGATCAAAAAATTCCGCAAAGACAGCATAGGACTCTGTGTCTCCGGCGTGGCAACCCATCAGGGACTTTTCTTTGTTTCGGACTCCAGTATTAACTGCTCGGGCAATGGTGAATCCTTTGGGCGTCTTCTTTTCCTTCAGCCTCTCAAAGACTTCCCTTGTGAGATATTTGGACATAATGGACTTGGCTCCAGTTAAATCAGGATATCTGTTTTGTTTGAGCTCTGGGTCAAGCTGAACATCATTCTGTTCTGACAAGTTTATGTCATCTCCTAACTTCATAGAGTTGTCTTGGACTATTTTAGGCTGACCAGTCTCCTGAAAGCAATACATATTACTTATGATCTATTGCAACCCTAAAAGTAACCATCCTTCTCACAGATCATTCAACTTACACAAAATTACTCCTCTTTCAAGCACGCAGGCAGTAGGGAAGTCGCGAGAACAAGGTCGAGAGAAAAAACGACGCGCGTGATCTGAGATAGCCTGCTTCGCAACGCCGAGATCCTTGTTCTGAGCCTCCTGGGCGCTCCAGAGAGCTTGCTCGCAGGCTAGGCCAACCATGGCGCTTACTCAAATTCTGGTACACAGGCACTAGCTGGGGGCTAAGAACAAGGATGTCGGCGCTGTTTTGCAGACAGACTTAGCCTACAGAGGTTTAGTTTCTTCTGTGGCGAAGTTAGCCTCTTCGCTAACTCCAGGCCACGCGAGTTTTTTGTATAAGTTTTAACATCTGGAGCAGGCTAACGCAAAATTTATAGCATTGGTAATAAGGCTGTCAAATTCACCGTAATTGAAGCTTTTTCGTGTTTTTCATGTGCAAAAGCAAACCCAGACGTGACTGACCCTTGCGGTCATGCGCAGCAGAGCTCTGCCGGGTCGCGAATGAAATTTGCCTTGTAAAAAATTTGACCAAAATTTAGCGACAGGCCGAGACACTCGAAACCTGCCTTGGCGATACTTTCCAAAGTAAGAAGAATAGGAGTTTGAATAAACCTGTCGTTCAAGACCCCAAATACACTGACAGTGCCATTAAAGTCGACTAGATATGGTGGCCGCTAGTTTTCCATGATTATCATACATATTGTCAATTGATCGTTCGTAAAACAGACAATCGTCTTCTGACATATGTCGAAAGATGACTCAAAGCACGACTTACTGCTTCACATCCAAAATAACTAAGAAAATAGATACTTAACAACACAACCAATGACCAAAAAATCAAGGCATAAAGTCAATGTGTGCTAGGTGTACCCATGGCAAGCTGTCACACTGGCTGATTTCACCGGCACGCATAACAGTATTTAAAACTAGACGGCCGCATCTGTCAGGATCGGTGAAGTCTGCTCTTAAGTTCGGTGCAACTTTCTTGTCTAATACACCTGAACTACAGAAACAGAATCCTGTACACCCGCCTGCGGGTACTTTGGGACCGGATCACAGGTGAATTTGAATGACAGAAGAATTGTATTGCACTTCTTCTACGCCTCCCAGTACAGGCGGCTATCGCAAAGGCAAATATCAATACCCAAGGTGATCTGTTGCTACAAGTCGACCTAACAAGTTTTACCGCAAAAAAGCTCAAAAGCGAGCCTGTTATGCGGCAAAGCGGCTGAGCGAGCGACAAAGTCGAGAGAGGTCGATTTCTTCGTCCGCGAGCAATATAAAAAAAGGCGAAGGACTTTTTCTAAAGGGCTACTAATATAAGGGGTCCTCTTCTTACAGTCTAACGTGTATTATCAATATACGGAAATGCCTTACTTCATTGGAAGTCATTTTTGGAGGTTCGTGAGTTCGAGGAGATTCTTCAACTTGAATTCTATTCCTCTTTCGCTGAAAGATTCCCGTGCAGCTGCCGCAGCAACCTATAGAGTTTCGATTTGTATCCATATACAACTCTTTGTTATATGCATTAGTCATGTGTTGCTGTGTTGTCACGCAAACATGTCTGTTTGTAGATTGTTGACTTAAATTTGACGAAGCAAATTTAGTTTGTTCGGAGTGTTTTACTGTGTAGTCCAAGTGGATAGTATCGAGAGATGATTTCCTTAAATAAGCTACAGCTCAAGCAAAGTTCTAAACAACAAGTTTCTTTAATAATATTGTAAACTGACGTGAACTATGTTGATTAAATCAGGGTCAAACAAGCCTCCAATAGCAACGAAAAGGCTAACAGCTGTTAAAGAGGTAGTACTTATTCATCAGAAATAAATTGACAAGAGGTCTCCTCTGATGATGTGTAGAGGTACTTAGAATAAAAGAGCAAGTTAGTTTGGCACTTTACTACCAATCGTCCTTGAATTCTACAAACAGACTAAAATAGACGGTATCAGAAATCAAGCGTCAGCTCATTTACCAACTTCTCGCTTACCCACTGACTCGAGACCTTGTTTACAAACACTATAATTTAGATGGCTTGCATATTATTACCAAAAACTGATTACCATTCAGCGTGTGGGTGCGTGGTATGCTGCTTGAATTTTTCCCGGACGGCTGTATGCTTTCAATTTCAAATATCACTCCCTTAATCAGATCTACTTCTCCATTTGAATTTTCTTTTTCTTTTTTTTCTTTTTCTTTTCCACTCTCTCTCTCTTTTTTGTTTCAATCTTCTTGTTGGAATGTAACCACTTTGGTGCTCATCATAAACAGTTTAGCCATTTTGTGGTTGCTCTTAGTACTGGGCCGGAGTCGTGTCGCATCGCACTATGGGATTTTTTGACCTAGTTTCCTGGACAACCACGTCATCGTTTTAAAAAAGAGTAGGAAACTGGACCAAGTTAACTTTGGCAAAGACTTTTAGGATTTTTACTGGGGACCAGGAAAACAAATTGGCCGTTAGCTGAATGGCGCCAGTAACGGTCCCAGAAGTCTTTGTAAAAGCTAATTCGTCCCTCTTTCCATCTCCTTTTTTAAGTGGCGACATGCAGCCTTAGTTATCACCAACTGCGCACGCTCAGGTGCACTTTCCCTCGTAAAGAGATGGTCAATAACAGTGCAAAAGTACGCATGAATCAATATTAACTTAGGTGTTCCAGTTCATCGAGTAAAGGGCTGGAAAAATGACGTCACAAGATTGACAGAAAAATGCATGCATACGATGTTTCAAAATGCTCAGGGTCTCAGCTAATAACATGAAAACAGTGATAAAATAGTGGGAAAATTCGGAAAGTTTAGCCTCCCACGCAGGCGCTTTTAGGGGAGTCGTAATTCCTCCCTCCCCACAATTTCGAGGGAAGGAAGGAAATAAGACTCCCCTAAGACGACTGCGTGAGAAGCTAGGAAAGTAGGTGTAGAAAAAAATTTCAAGCGGATAACGGCGCTTGATAGAAACCCTGAACACCTGAAATATTCCAGGAATCTTGATTGTGTAATGACCAATCACAGTTCTGATTAATAGTGGACTTTTATTTACTATAATAAATTAACGCTTAGCACTGACATCATGGTGTAAAATAGTTCTTATGACTTAGATCTGAATATTACTAGCAATCTACGAAAACAAATTCCGCATCGTAAATGCTGGAATCTGATTGGTTCTAAACAGCCCATATTTATTGCTTAATTTGGCTGATACAACAACGGTACTTTCTGATTTGACCTGTCCGTTAAAAACGCTTGTAGGGCCTATTTACTGCTTAAAATGCCAGGCTCTGCAGCTAAGCCATCACGTGACCTACTTTTTATAAAATTATGGGCCATAACTTAAAAAATTTCAGAAATGGAAAAAGCATGTCGAAAGTATCAAAATAGCCAAATTTGACGCTTCCATCATTCAAGAATGAGATTTTATGACAGTCTGAATTTTTTAAAAAATGAGAAGATTTGTGTGGAAAAAGTTGTTGGAGAGCAAGGCCTTGCTCTCCTGCAACATTTTCCATACAAATCCAGTACAGTACTCTGTAATCCCAGGGGCCCAAACTTGGCCATTTTGGTATTTTCGATATGCTCTTTCCATCTCTGGCATTCTTTAAGTTATAGCCCATAATATAGATTTTTTAAGGAAAATTTGATCACGTGATCCCAGCTGCAAAGGGCCTCATGTTGCTCACATGTGTGATTTCACTAACTAGTCCATGCCAACCAAAACAAAGTCTGAGGAAGTTTCTTAGTTTCAGGTTCAAAAACGAAACTATAACTAATAATAATTCCTACCTGTTACAATAGTTAGCATAGGAACAACACGATTTACCTTAAGGAACAAGGTCAAGTCCAGCCTTGTTTCTATCTATATATAACTATAAAAGGGCCTATTTCCAATCGACTCAGCGCGTACCAATCAGTCTACTCCCTCGATTGCACTCCACTCAACCCTATTGCCAATAATTGGCTAATTTACTGACCCTTGAATGGAACTATTGTGCTGTAAATATGGTTCTCTCGCTTTTGTATGCGTGGATGAAATCTGTAGGTTCGCTTTTTCAGTATGAAATCTATTGAAATCTGTACTACCACGTGCTCTGCGCGGGGTAACGCCCTATAATTGACTAGAAGGGAATGCTCCGCCCAAAAGCCTTCAAACTAGACTGAGGTGTAAAAAAAAAAAAATAACGAAAACCTTTTGTAATTGAAATAATGAAAGGGTTAAGACTTTTTGCGGGCCTCGAGACAGAGTGCAATATCCCCCGTACAACCGGTATTGTCTACGTGCTACAACTATTCTTCTTACTATTACTATATTGCGCTCTAATATTCATCATCTCAATGAAGTCGGTGACTGGAACCAGATAGGCAATACACCAACCACTTATAAAATATAAATGTCAAGAATTACATGCAACAACAAAAAGAATATAAAATAAAGATTAACTACACAAATCTACAAGTTTTTATTAAGCTAATACTATCAAGCGGAATAAGCTAATAAGGGAAGAAAGAGAGTAAAAATTCTCGAAGACCAACTCTTCAGACTTCTTCAAATAGTAAAAGTGTTGGACAAATTATTCACTGTGATAAGAATTCAAACCACAGTATACCTTGCTGTCTAGACAGAAAGCAGTTGAGATGTTTCATTGATTTATTCAGTTTCTTAGTTGATGTAGTCGGTTCCCTCTCCCCTTGCATGTCTCCCTCGCGCACACCCTTCTCATTTTTTTGCTCCCAAATTTTTTTCATGCACCGTTTCGCAAGCTCTACAAGTCAAATAACTCTAATAATTCTCATCAAAGTGTATTAACTCTTTAAGCCCTAAGAGTGATCAGAATCAAATTTCTCCTTGTAACATCAATGCTTTGTAAAACAGAGTGGTGATGAGAATTACGGACATAATCACACAAGATCTAATTGATACATCAACAAGTTCTCCCGACTACTTCTATTGAAAACGTATAGGGATAACAAATGAGAATTTGAATTTTGATGATAGGGTTTAACGACACTACCCTCCCTACCACTTGTACTTCTTTCATCGATAAACGTGAAAGAAGATACAAGTGGCAGAGACGGAAAATGTCTGTTTTCTTCCAATGATATTTCGATATTCTTCTAGAGAAATCTCATTTTCTCAATTCTAAGTTAGATTCATTTGTCTTATTTTAGTCAATGCAGTTTAACTAGCAAAAAGTCTCGATCTAGATCTGGTTATTTTAACACATGACACAGTGTACTAAAATGTGTTTCCTGGAACTGGGTCAACGGCTGTCGTTTCTTGCAATGTCGTACTTGTCCAAGAAACCTGAAAGAAAAGCAATAAAACTAGGGTAAGTCTTTTTCAATTTAGCAATAGGTTTTCCTCTGACAAAATTTCGTTTGCTATGACACTTTGTCTCGTTGGCGGCAACATGAACGTTCCATAAAAGAGTTCAGAAGATCACGCTTCGAAACTAAAAATGCCTTCACACCAGCTGCAGTGTCATCGGCTAACTTGTTAAAAAACAGTGAAAAGTACCTCTTAAATCTCCCTTACATCAGGAAGACGCTGGATTTTCGTGGCAGTATATGAGGCAATATGTAAGAAGCACGCACGCCAAAGTAATAAATAAATTAAACCGACTGTGACCTTGCTTCCAGCAGGTGAATTTTGTGATTGAATAATACCTTTCAGACTAGGAGGTACTCCTGGAGCACATGTTTCTTAAAAGACTGGTTATACATGTGACACAAGTGATAATAATAGTCCGACAACGACACCCGGGTGAATGATCACTTATTCTGTGTTTGCCTTGATGTCTTGCTATGAACTGAACTCAGTACTATGACGTTGATTTATCGGTGACACTCTAGCACCCAATTTCACCCGTGATGTTCGAAACACGTGAACGAAGCTAAATGCATACGGATAAATCACACGCAAAATTTTTTTCTAGCTGAACTGAACACATCTGATTCGTCTCTAGGGCTCAAAAAAATATATTACAAGGGACAAATTGAAGAAACGTGCCTTTTATAAACGCGTATAGAACTACAACTATAAATATCAAGGGCAATAGAAGGTGCATATCTCTCACTCTATCGCTATCAATCCATATCTCTCACCTCTATCGTAGCTTTTGGTAAAAATTAACATCGTCTAGCCAAACCAATATTTTCACTCTTTAGCCTTGACCCCTTTAATCTCAAGAATGCAAAGAATCTACCACAATTTTCCAAAAGGCAACATTTTACTTTCAAACTAAGGACATATCAATTAGTTAGCGCACCATTATAATGACTTCTGAAAAGTGTTCTTAAAGTTAATAAAGGGTGTGTATCGCACGTCAACAAACCTCACCATATCAATTGTTGTCCAAAACGATCTGCAAAGTTGTTTTACGAGTATAGTTTTAACGAAATTATATCTTGAAAAACGAGGCTTCTTTTTACTAAAATGTTCTCTTTTGTTATGTGCAAAGAAACGTCCTAGAAATTGAATTATAAGTTATTCAAAGCTGCTTTTTGCACCATGCAAAATC